TAGATAAATAACTTTAAAGAAAATTTGCAAAAGAAAAACTTTTAAATAAAAATAAATATTTTTCAATGTTTAATCTTACACACTTGAAAAGAAAATAATGCAAACTAAACCAAAATAAATATGTATAGTATGGTCTCATTTAACACCCAAAAAGTAGCTCTACTTTTATCTGTCACACATTGGGGTTTCAAAATTCTGAAGTTTCTTTTTCTTTTTTTTTTTTTTTTTTAAATAAGCACTCTACTGACTAAGCTGTATTCTCAGCCCTGATCTGTAATGTGTTTTTTTTTTTTTTAAATATTTTTAAAAATATTACATTTTAGTTTTCGGCAGACACAACATCTTCGTTTGTATGTGGTACTGAGGATCAAACCCAGGCCGCACCCATCTGAAGTTTCTTTTTAAAGGGTGCTGCTGCCCACCTCGCAAAAAAGAAGTGGAAGATAAGAAGGCCTGTTCACCCACTTAGCCAACTTCACACAGATCCCCAGTTTTCCAAGAAGTTGCCAATCTTTGTCACCTTGCTTCAACCTCCTATTTTTGTTTAAGGGACAAATGAATAAATCTGGTCTGGTTTGGTACATTTGCCAATACCTTCCCGTACAGCCAAGAACTGACAATGTTAATGGAGCCTCCTTCCCAACATTCAGGAAGCGCAAATGGAGACAAATCCTTTTACTTGACAGATAAAAGTCAAGGGAAAACCAACTGCAAAGCCAGCAACCCACTGCCTTTGCAGGGTCTCCAAGCATCCTGTAACAAACCCCCTTCCCAGACCCTCAGCAGCACCTGATGATGAAGAGTGGGTCCTCCCGGATCTTGCTGGCCATGTCAAGCAGGGAATTGGCACCAGACGGAGCAAAAATAGAGCCAGGAAGGAGTCCTGTCTCAGAAGAACATCCCCCCTCCTTCTCCTCCATCTTCTCAAAAACATATTTGTCAATGGGGCGCCCCAGCAGGTACTCATCACGATTCACCATCCCACCAGGACCCTGGTACATCCAGTCCAACTTTTCTTCTTTTTTCCTGGTTGAAGAAAACAATATATACAATTCAAAGGAAATGTAGATTCCGGCAAACCTGCACAGAAAACCCAATGAGAGCAGGACTCAATCTATAGGTGCTTACCACATGGCAAGCATGGTGAAATGGTGCCTGCCCTTGTGGAGCTTGCAATTAAGTGGAGAAATCATTTTCATATACTTAAAGCATAATTTCAAAAGATAATCTAAAACAATTAATAGGCTCATTCTACATCATTGTCTTATCACCAAAAATAATGTCAGTGATCACATAATCACTCGTATTTATTTTGTTTTGGTGCCTGACACATTAGAACCAGTAATAACACTACATGTTTGAGGAGATAATAAGATCAAAAATAACCTAATACATAAATGATGTTTTTAAGCCAAAGGTAGAGCATGGCACAGGGCACAAATGATGTCATAGTATCATGTCAAGCAAATATTTCCCTGTGATTCTAGGGAGAAACATGGTGAGAAAATGGACCCTCATATCACAAATAGTAAAGGTATATAGAAGCAGCCAACAMCAGCTCACAGCCAATTCATTTCATCCAAACAGTATTATTTGTAGCATTAAACTCAAAATGTTCAAAGTGCTTTGAATATGACTTTAATTTGTGTATTTGTTTGCTTTGAGGTTGCATAATAACTGGGAGGATATCTTCTTACTTGCATGTTTGGACTTTTTTTTTCAGTGCCAAGGATCAAACCCAGGGCCTTGCCCATACTAGGCACGTGCTCTGCCACTCTTTCCCTGCCACTCCCACAGACATTTTTAATAAGAATAAACCAACACAACACTTTAGAAAAMTTTTTTCCTATTAAAAGCATTGGTTTGATGGGGCTAGGGGTGCGGTTCAGTGGTAGAGCGCTTGCCTAGCATACGTGAGGCACTAGGTTCAATCCTCAGCACCACATAAAAATAAATAAATAAAGTAAAGGCATGCTCTCCATCTACAACTACAAAAAAAATTAGTAAAAAAATAAAAGCACTGGTTGGAGAAACATTATAGTCTATAATTAAGAAATGATTGTGGTCATGGGTCAGGTTCCATGYGGTTTGCCTGGCATTGCTCACACCACTGGAGTTAGGAGCACAAGGGAGAGCTGCACCCTGGTGGATAACGGAAGACTATAGTGGGACTTTAAAAGGAATACCACAGGTAATGGTGTCTTTCATGTAAACAAAGGGTTTCCTAAATCTCTCATGTAAATAAATCAGAGACCAGGAAGGAGRCTGACAACTATTAAAACCAGGGCTCCAGAGGGCTAGGGATACAGCTCAGTTGGTAGAGTGCTTGCCCTGCATATACAAGGCCCTGGATATATCAGGGCTCCTGGAAAGGAGGGAGCTTTACAGTTTGGGAAGTCATGTTCCAAGTGGAGGGAAAGAAGATCCCTGGAATTTCATCACAAGTGGTGTCTTACAAGAGCCAAACTGGCAGTACAAAATGGACCAGACAGGGCTGGGGATGTGGCTCAAGTGGTAGCGCACTTGCCTGGCATGCGTGCGGCCCGGGATCGATCCTCAGTACCACATACCAACAAAGATGTTGTGTCCACCGAGAACTAAAAAAATAAATATTAAAAAAAAAAAATGGACCAGACACCAATTCAAGAAGAATTTTAGAACAAGTTATAGTCTGTTTTTAAATTGTATATGGCACTGGGTGAGGTAACACACCTGTAATCCCAGATACTAGGGAGGCTGAAGCAGGAGGACTGTAAATCTGAGGTCAACCTGGGCAATTTAGCAAGACCTTGTCTGGGGAAGACAGGGGCRGTTAGGAAGTAGTAATATTAAAGCACCACTGGATCCAATACCCAGTACTGAAGCAGGGAAACATACTTTTGAGCTAGGGGCACCAGTAGCTCAGGGGCAGAGCACTTAACATATGCAAAGCCCTGGGTTTGATCCCCAGCACCTCAAAAAAATAATAAATAAATAAAATTATAGGCGGGACAACTATGATCAAGTAATCTATAAAGAAACATTAAACAATTTTTTAAATTTAAAACAGCATGGGAAGTGGGAGGTATCTGAAGATAATACATTTATTTATTTATATTTTTATTGCAGTTGTGATCAAAATAAATGTTTAATAAAATTACAAGAAAATACCATAAATGCTTAGAAGATAAAGGGCCAAAAGGCTAATAACAATGAAATATGAACATCATTTCCTTGGGAATTTTCTTGTGTAGTTTTTTTTTTTTTTTTTTTTTTTTTTTATTGATTGTTCCAAACATTACAGAGCTCTTGATAAATCATCTTTCATACATTTGACTCCATTGGGTTTTGAACTCCCATTTCTACCCCAAATACAGATAGCAGAATCACATCTGTTACATACTCAAGTTTTTTTTTAATATTTATTTATTTTTAGCTGTAGTTGAACACAATAACCTTTATTTTATTTATTTATTTTTATGTGGTGCTGAGGATCAAACCCAGAGCATCGCATGTGAGAGGCGAGCTCTCTAACGCTGAGCCACAACTCCAAGCCCCTGCCTAGTTTTGTGTATTCTATAATCCAAACAATAGAAAACTCCTGGGTCTGAGAGGAAAAGAACTGATTGTATAGGGCAGACCATATCACACCATAAGGAGGTCTGAGCAGGAAGGTCAATGATAACTAGAATATTCTCAGAGGCTCATTTCCTGATAGGGAATATAGCATGACAATTATGAGTACAAGTTCTATAATCCCACCTACTAGGAAGGCCAAAGTAGGAGGATGGCTTAAGTCCTGGAGTTCAAAACCACTGGGCAATGTAGTGAGACCCTGTCTCAGAAAAAATAAATAAATAAAAAGAGGATAAGTTCTAGAGTCAAGCAACATGGACCTGAATCCTGGCTCTATAGCCAATTAAGTCCTCTGAGCCTTGGTGTCCTCACCTATCAAATGGGGATATAATACTATCTACCTCACAGGGTTGCTGGGAATTAAGTCAAGTCAATGGATTTTTAGATTTTTTTGTTGTTGTTGTTTTTATGGTACTGAGAATTGAACCCAGGGCATTGTGTATGCTAGCCAAGTACTCTACCACTRAACTACATCCCTTGCCCAGTTAATGGATTTTTAAGTCACTCAGCAGAGTCATGGCACAAAGTAAGTATCAATAAATGCTGGTTGTTCTTTGTGTTATTTATGTGTTTCTCTCTCCCATCAAGTTTTAAACTCCTAAATGGCTGRGACTATGGCTATGTCTCCTAGACAGATGCCCAACAATCATGGATTCAACGTCTGACAATTTCATAGTCAATGAACCTTGAGCTAGGAAGTACTTTTTGACAGAAATTAAGGACATAGTGAAACCCGGCAGGGTGGTACATGCCTGTAATCCCAACTCAGGAGGTTAAGACAGGAGATCCCAAGTTCAAGACCAGCCTCAGCCAACTTAGCAAGGCCCTCAGCAACTTAGAAGCCCCCGCCTTAGGGCTGGGGATGTGGCTGAAGCRTTAGCGCACTCGTCTGGCATGCGTGCGGCCCAGGTTCGATCCTCAGCACCACATACCAACAAAGATGTTGTGTCTGCCGATAACTAAAAAAATAAATAAATATTTAAAAATTAAAAAAAAAAAAAGAAGCCCCCGCCTTAAAATAAAACATAAATGGGCTGGGGTTGTGGCTCAGTGCTAGAGCGCTCGCCTAGCACATGCAAAGTGCAGGGTTTGATCCTCAGCACCACATAAAAATAAATAAATAAAATAAAGGTATTGTGTCCAACTACAACTAAATAAATTAATAAATAAATAAAAAGAGCTGGGAATATAGCTCAGTGGTAAAGCACCCCTAGGCTCAAGAAAGAAAGCAAGCCAGGGGGCTGGGGTTGTGTCTCAGTGGTGGAGCGCTTGCCTTCCATATGTGAGGCCCTGTGTTTGATACTTAGCACCACATACAAATAATAAAATAAAGGTCCATTGACAACTAAAAAAATACTTAAAAAATATGTGAG